TGACGACGGTAAAGCTCTCGAGCTGCCTCCCGCAACGCTTCTCGCGCCGCCCGTACGCGAGGCCTCGCGAAACGCCTTTCGGAAACGCCTAGACGGGCCGGTCGCCGGCCTCGGCCTGGCGCTGGGACTTCTGCTCGGCGCTGAGGGGGAGTTTCGCCAGCTGGTTCACGCCAGGCATCTCGAGCGTGTTTTTTTTTTTTGTCGCTCTGAAGCGTTGACGTTGGCAAACGCTCCGTTTTTAGAGGTTGTTTTCCTCCCTATAAATCGCAGAAAGCTTAAGGAGCACTTAGGATGCCTGTCTTTAGCCCGGCCAAGCGCTGAACGCTTTAGAAGTAGTTTCTTTCTGATTTCGCGTTTGTTATACTTGGCTTGAGCGAAACACTCAGTTTTCCAGCCCTTACACAGAGCTTCCTGGTTTTGCCCTTGTTGGGGTTAATCTGTGGACTCTACGTAGCGATCAGTCGTAATAATAACGTTCATAAATGTATGTCGTAGCATTGTCTTGGGCAGGATATTTCACTCTTGATTAGTCTGCAGACAAGCCTTTGTAAATACCGGCTTTGATTTGAAATGGCTTTCGTTTAGTTTTTAAACTTAAACGTTTTGCTAGCGATACGTAAAGACTGGTGAAGGTGCAAGCTGCTTTTTCCGAAAATACTGTTTGCGGACTCTTGTGCGTATGTTTTCATTCGCAGAAGATCAGATTTCACAATGCTTGAAAGAATTATCTAGAGTGGCGCTCGTATGGGACCCTGCTGTGATCCTTTACAAGAGCCAGTTTAAGCGGGGCTTTTGTTAGCAGAAAGTTACCCGTTTGTTGCAGAACGTAGGTATTCTGGAAGTGCTGCGTTAATGTGAAAAGCCTGGGTAAACCTTCCTTAGGGGTTCGGCCAGTGAAGCTGTGATATGGGAGCTCACGGGAAGGAGACGGGAGGAGCGTTCGTGAGCAAAACGAAGCCGGTTTTGTAGGTCCAGTCGTGTTCAAGTCCGCTGAAAGAAGTGGTTGGTCCCTCTCTTTCCCCGAACTGCGTGTTCTTCTGCTCCTCTTTGGCTGGTGTGCGTGTTTGTCTCTGCGTACAGCGAGTTTGGAGACTTGATCTAGCCAGAAGCGCGTGTGCAGGGGGAGTTGTTTCTTCCTCCCCGTCTGGATGGGCTCACTCGTCTGCTTTACTGCCCAGCTCAGGGATTTGATGAAAGCCCTTTTGTGTAAGGGGAGGGGGCTGGAGCAGTGGTCGTTTTTCTGTCAGGCCTACATAACCTCTAGGACTGTGCAGAATAGGAGTGGGGAGGGTGTGTAGCTACCCCTTTCAGCAGTAGGGTACTCTTAAATTAGCCTAAGGTGGCCATGAGACTGCATCCTAAGGCTGCAGTCAAGTATGCTGTTCTGGTTGCAAATAAAGTATCTGAGTAAAGGAATGCCTGCCCCTAGCCGTTCATTTCTGTAGCTGCAATTCTGTTTATACAACAGGGAACGTGACCACGCTTTAAACAAATCATTGCTTTTTTAATGATTAGATCACTTTACAGCTAGGATTTTGAGCCTACCTATGCGAAATTGATGAACCAGATAATGGAGGGAGCAAGACTGAAATAGCTGGAGCCCAGGGTCTCTTAACCTGTGTTTGTTTCCATCAGAATATTAGCATGGGACCGCTGCTGAAACATTTCGCTTATCTGAATTGCTTTGCTAGGGAGCCCTACTTGCGCAGTTGATTTAACAGATTTGAATCGGCCACAATAAATTTTTGTACTGTAGCTTCATGTGGTAAGCTCTTAACCTTGCTCAGCTGTGTCTGTATGGCATGTCTAACTGAAAGCTGGTGTATACTGTTTACAGGGAAAACGCCTAAACAGCATACAGAGGAGGAAGTAGTTTTGCAGAGAGATCCACATCCGACTGACAGCCGTTCTGCAGGGCAGGAGTCTCCACTGAGACATTCTTTGCAACTGGCGGCTCAAAATCCTGCCACGATGAAGCCACTGAAGAACACCAGAGCTGGTGAGTGGCCCCAGCAGACTGATGAGGAAAATGAGGATGTTGGGCTGTTTATTCCATTGGGTAAGCTTTGTGCAAGGAACAGACCTGTGACTTTACTGTAGTAGATACGGAACTTGGAAGCATCTACACCATGACAAGGGGCTGTTTAAGTGCAACGGTTTCTCACGTTTTCATACTGTGTTCTGTAATACAGTGGCTAAATAAGCTTCAGGTATCCAGATGAAACTTGCTGGAGTTGATCTCTGTAATTTTCAGTCACTGAAAACACCGTTGTCCTTTAGAGGAAGTTCTGATTCCTTCTTTGCCCTGAGTCAGCAAAACACTGCCACTTGGGACCCCCTTTAAGTCCCAGAAACTGCAATCTGTTTTTGCTTCATGGTGTCTGAATTTTTGCAACTGTTTTAAGCTTGACTCGCTACTTAAAACATCTGGAAAAGGGTTGAAAGAGCATCTCCGCTCTAGCGGAGGTGTCAAATACGTAACGTTTGTGTGCTTGACTAATGTGACTCATTCAGATCCTGCAGAATTTGAATCCTCTGTGTCTAGTCTTTGTGGCCACTTCCATGTGGAAGGTTTCGTTATCAGCTGTTGGAAAGCTGCTGCCACTTTAGTATCTACAGAATTCCAGCTCTTTTTTAGTCTCATACTGTCTGAATGTGCTGGATGTGAAGTATCTGAATTTTTAGATTTAATTTTTATTGTTAATTTTCAGAAGAGCAAGATGGAGAGGATATTGAGAGGAGGAAGAAGAAGAGGAAGGCAACCAAACGGAAAAGAGAAGGAAAAAGTCAAGAGGAGGAAGGATCTTTATCTTGTGACATCAAGCTGGATGATACCCTTGATCGCACCTTAGAAGATGGTGCTAAACAACATAACCTGACAGTTGTCAATGTGCGAAACATCCTGCATGTGAGTGTAGCGGGCCTATGACTTAGTACAAGGAATGGTAAATCGGCCAGCTGATTTTTAAGAAAGTTTTTAAGAAAGCTGATGTTTAAGAAAGTGCAGTCTAGACTTGAATATAGTATGTATGGTACCACTTGATTTCGTGAACAGAGAAGACTCGGTAGACGTCCACATCCTAGTTCCTTCTCCATCATGTTCCCAGCTAGTTTATTTCAGTCCTGAGTCTGCTGCTTTCTAACAAACAGAATGTAAAGGAGGCTTTTTAAAAATAATTCTTGTGTTCCTGCAGGAAGTGATCACAAATGAGCATGTGGTTGCCATGATGAAAGCAGCCATCAGTGAGACAGAAGATATACCTTTGTTTGTAAGTAAAAGCTTTTTCTTTGGTTGTCTTTCTAAATGCATGATACCTTCATCGGTCTACCTGTTTGGTCCATCCCATGATGTGGTAGGGAGAGACTAGGTAGCATCACACTTTACATTTCATTGACAGGTTTGGCGCCTGGATGGAGTAGTATCTATGTGTGAATGTTAATTATCAAACAGAATTATCAGGGCTTATTTCCAATGTCGTTCCCATCACATCTAAAGGATAATGAGCTTAAAGATAAGAGAAGGCTTCTAGTAAAGAGTTATTGGGGAAAAAATTGCGGTTAAAGAAAACAGCTAAACAGGTTGCGCTTTTCTTTTTTTAAACTTTCAGGAACCCAAAATGACTCGTTCCAAACTGAAGGAAGTTGTGGAGAAAGGAGTGGTATGTCATCCGCTTTTACTGTTGTGGCAGTTTTCCCCTGTCCCACTCCCCAATACAGCTGTTCTCTGATTATTGGGGCTACGAAAAGACGTGTAAAGCAAGGTGGCTTAAAGATATGTGACTTAAAGATAAATTCTGTGCATATATTTTTTCATACAAGTATGTAGAAAAGAGTTCCTTTTGAATGAGCAGGATAGAACCAGATCAGAGCTAGAAAATGCAGTGAGTTGACGGTATCTGCTATACCAAAGTTATTGCCTGTAGAGATCACCTGAGCAGTTTAAACGAATGTTTTCTAAAGTCTGTTGTTACTTGGCTGTTTTGGAGAGCAAGATCTCAAGCGCAAGTACTCACTTGTTTCAGTACTGTGTTCAAGCTTTTCAGAGACAGCTAATATGTATTTGCTATCTTTAGGTGATTCCAACGTGGAATATTTCTCCAATCAAGAAGGCAAATGAGGTAAAGGTAAGTGAACAACTGCTGGGAAATTGGAGAAGCTGCTAGTGGTGCCCTGCTGAGCAGGGAATCTTTTAGAGGGGTGGAGCAGACGTCTCTCTTTCTGGCTTCCTCACTTCTCTAGTGCATGTGGCACCCTTGTTACAAGGAGCGTTGCACACAGGGTGCGCAAAGCAGGACAAGGCAGTTAACATAGCTGTTTGTGCCCAGGGAGCCCAGAAGAGCTCCCTGCAGGGAGAAGAGGAAGCACAGGAACGTGATGATGCGCCACAAGAAGCGATCTCTTCCAGCTGGTCCAGCTACCTGTTTCGGCACGTCCCAGGTCTCATGCTGCAAGGTGCTCCTCCTTGGGGTTGTTTTACATGTTGTAGGACTGCCTGGAAGCATGGCCTGGAACTCGACTCATTGGCCTGAGCACGGCCTACTCCAAAAGGTTTACAGTCTAGGTTTAGACAGGATTCAGCAAGTGGGTGTAGTAGAGGCCAATGGCAGTTGAGGTGCTGGAAACACATCTTTAAAATAGCATCTGCATATGCAGCCTCCATCGTATACATGCTAAATCATTTGTGTCTGTTCTTGCACCTTTTCAAACCACTTACTTTACCAATCTTATTTTAATAATTTCTTTGGTTTCTTCAGCCTTCTTCTGTAGTCTACCTCTTCTCTGAGCGGCAGTGTATTTCCTCAGTTGTTAAAAATATTTGATCTGATTGTGTGCCATTAGAGCGTAACCCTTTATTTTACTTGTAAGAACTTGTCATCTCTCTTCTGGTCTTTGCAGCCGCCTCAGTTTGTGGACATTCCTCTTGAGGAAGATGATTCATCTGATGAAGAGTACCAGCCTGAAGATGAGGATGAGGATGAGACTGCAGAAGAGGTAAGCATAACTTGTAAGAGATCTGGTCTCTTCAGCAGGGGGTTGTCCGCGTGTTTATCTGCGGCAGTAGAATGCTCTATTTTAGCACATTAAGACTTTTAAATCGTCCCAGATCGCCTCGTCATCTTTCTTCAATGCTATATTACTCATTTGGCTAAAAAAGTGTCTTTGGAATATTTCAGGATTTGATTGCAGTATGCGTGTTTGATGGTATTCTGCTTCTCTCTGGCACTATAGAGCTTATTGGAAAGTGATGTAGAGAGCACGGCCTCTTCCCCTCGGGGAGCGAAGCGATCTAGGACAAGGCGATCCTCTGATGAAGAGGGAGGGACGCTCTGTGAGGTAAACTTCACAACAGAGTTTTGCTCTCTTGGGAAACAGTCTTCATTCATCCTTCCTAAATTATTAACGAGGAAGGAAAAAACATATATATTTATACAACAGCTGTAATGTCACCACATTAAGCATGGATTTGGGGTCCCATTGCAGTGGTTCCTGCATAAGCGATTAAGTGCAACCCTTGCAGAAAGAGCTTAGTCTTAAATAAACACCAGTACTTTAAAAAAAAAAAAACCAAAATGGCAACAGAGACACCCTGCTTTTCTTCAGATAATGATTATTTTTCTGATTATTTCTGAGAGCAGTGCAGGGAGAGGTGTCTCCTGTGCTTGAGTCAAGAAGACCGTGCTTTTGATGAAAGCATAAAGGTATTTGTGGTGTCTGTATGCACTGTCAAATCACTGGAAGGTGTATGAGCAGTGTGATAAGAGCAGAAAGTGACTGAACATCAGCAGACAGGAATGAGAAAGTGACTGTGAGAACTGAACACTAGCACTGGAAGGGTATGAGGGAACCAGATGAAACGGTAATAATGTACTGACATTTCTGCATTCCACTCGCCAGAGGAGTGGTTTTGGGAGGATCAAGAGTGCCACAGCTGTAAGCGTTCAGATGTATCAGCTCTAGTAATGCGGGGACTGATACTCAGATCTGCCAAATGTCTCCTTCCCTGCAAGTCTTCGAATAGTAAATTTATGGTGTGCTTTCTGAAAATCAAAGTAAGTGTAATGTGAGGAATCCATTTCTTTCTGTATAACACTACTCATGTTTATGTGATACCAGAGTCGAGTCAGACAGGAAAAAGAAAAAAAGACTTATCTTGTCCTTGGAAATATATGTTCTAAGTAAAACCTTTTAACACAAAGGTCTTTTTAATTAGACAGAGAAGGTTACTACACCTGTTGTTAGACATATTAGTGCTGAAGTAGTTCCCATGGGACCTCCACCACCTCCTAAACCAAAGCAAAGCAAAGACAGCACGTTCATGGAGAAACTGCATGCAGTGGATGAAGAATTGGCCTCAAGCCCAGTATGCATGGATTCCTACCAGGTAACATTTGGGGATGCTGCAGGAGTGATTTTTTTTTTAGTTCAAGTAAAAATATTTTAGAGAGAAGGTAGCTTTCTAGTATTCTCTGCTAGTAATGCTGCTGCATTCTGCTCTCATTTTATAAAAATAAATAATGAGTTGAATCTATGTATGTGTGTGGGACAAAAGCGCAGAGTCGAAGTGGTTGTCGGTAAAGAGTTATTAGTGATGTATACTTTTAATTTCTTGTATACTAACTATACTTTTGTGTTTTGCTCATACTTTTCACATTTCTGCTGTTGTGACTGTTAAATGTAATCCTGTGATATTTACATAATTAATATATTTTTCCTTTTTAAAGATATCCTGTCAGCTTAATTGTGTTTTGCAAGCAAGTGCACTATTAATACTTGAGGTAGCTTGGTTGTAAATAAAACCACTATTCCATATTAATAATGAGAAAAATAATACTGATCCTTGTTGCTGTGCGAGGGAGTTGTGAAGAAACAGTCCTGCGCTTCTGCTCAGCAACAATTTATTACGGTTAGTGGAGAGGGCAGGCAGAGTAAAACGTCTCTTAAGGAGTCAAATATTTCAAGGGGAAATAGCTTCCTGGGTAGAACATACAGTTTTGCATGAGATAAATGATGAAAAGTACATTTCTAATCAATATAAAATGTAGTAACTAGAGTAATGAAAGCTTGCCTTTGATGGAGTACCAAAGTAATTGACTTTTGTGGCAAGAATGTAGCGTCTTCGGTATTGGATTTTTGGCCAGGCTGAAAACCCTACTGTCAGAGAAACTGGAAGAATAGCAGAGAAATTGTAATTCCATTGTGCTTTTTCTTCATGTTTCAGTCTCTGGAAGACAGCCTCATTGCCTTCCGAACCCGATCAAAGAGACCGCTGAAGGATGTTCCTCTTGGTCAGCTGGAGGCTGAGCTCCGAGCCCCAGATATTACGCCAGATATGTATGACCCCAATACTGCAGACGATGAGGAATGGAAAAGGTGGCTTGGAGGACTCATGAATGATGATGTGGAGAATGAAGGTGCATGACAGATTTTCTTGTTGTTCATTGGATTTGGTGGTTGCATGGAAAGCCTGGAGCTCTTTCTTTCTGTTTACACATGATATTCTTGGCTGCAGCTGTTACCTTGTTTAGTAATATGGATGTGTTTGTCCATCATCAGTTTTCCTCACCTTCCACGTGGCCAGTTGTTGTTGTTGTTTTTCACTTCAGGTGACTCACTTAACTGCAAGTGCAGTCTAATAAACATTTACTTGTAACTATAAATGAAAGTTAGGTGTCTCCATCCTTACTCTGTTGTGCTATATCATGAAGCTGGCAGCGTATCTGTGTGTAGTGCCCTCCTTTGTAGATCATGGCTTGTGTTGGTAGAAACAACTTTATTTGCTCTTCTATGAGAAACAAGAACGTATACTGGGGCTTGACTTTCTTTTGCCCTGAATTCACCTGTTGCTTGCGTTTGTACAAGTTGAATGTAAAGCACAAACTGGAGTAATAATACTTCACTCTTTCTAAACTTAGCTGAAATTCAGGTAATGAAGAATAAATCTAGCTTTTCCCAGATTTTTTTCCCAACTAAATGGGAATAGCTACAAACAAGGATATTAATAGTTCCGTTTGAAAAGAGAGTGGTCTTGATATTGCTTCCATAAAAATGAACAAATTGCTAATTTCAAATGGTACTCCTAGACCTTTTTCTGCCAGGTCAAGCAATAAACTAAGTGCTTCTCCTCTTGGTCATTGACTTCTTGGTCTTGGTGGTGCAGGGTAATGATGTTACAAAACATATTTCTTATTAGATGAAGCAGATGATGATGATGACCCTGAATACAACTTCCTGGAAGATCTGGATGAACCAGACACAGAAGACTTCAGAAATGATCGTGCTGTGAGGATTACCAGTAAGTCCTTCAGGAACCCCAGTTGCTTTCTTGTTAGGATTAGTAATTCATTTTACAAAGTGAGTGTTCTGTTGCAAAGACTTTGCCATGAAGGCTAGTTTAAAAAAAACAAAACAAAACCTGCCTACAGACTTGAACAGCTCTTTTCTGTTGAACTGGCTTTCTGCGAATACGTGAAAGGGTCTAGCCAGAGCTACTATGCTATTAGATGCAACTTTACTCCATAGCAAAGAATGAAGAATAAAACTTAGGACAGTACACTGTCTTTCATAAAGATGTCAGAAGTCAGAAATTTCGAGTCAGGAATTGAATGCCTGCCTTCTGACTTGAGTATAATTAAATTTTCTGTAAGTTATTGCGGTCTGAATGAACAGATTTACGAGCATATCACTTATCATTCTCTTAATAAAGCATACTAATTTTAGGTCTTATTATAGACTGACATAAATTTATTTGTAAGAAGAAAAAAAAACTTTTTTTATAGGCTATATATTCCAAGCAGAACGTTCTCTTCAAGTCTGTTAACTGAAACTTTCTGGGGCCCAGCCATGAAAAGGAGTATCTTTCCTCCCTAGTCCTCTTTGTTTGCAAGAGGGGGTTACACTTTGCAGGATAGATTCCTTTAACAGCTTGACAACATGACAGGATTGCTAGTGGTTTTTGGAAAAAGGAAGCTTCATATATCTTTTTCATTTTACTTGCAGAAAAGGAAGTGAATGAACTGATGGAGGAGCTGTTTGAGACAGTAAGTGATAAATTGGGTGTAGCATTGAGGAATAGTCCTGACTCAAATTTGGCGTGACGTTTCTGAAGCTGTAAAGGGGGACCTCTGTAAGATGTGCAGCGCTGAATATGCGAAAGGGGCCCTGCCGTAAAAGTGTAATTTTTACCCTTGGGAAGGAGCTGATGTAGGACCTTCTGTAAACCCCCAGCAAAGATGAAAGTATTTGCTAAGAGCATCGATAGTGCATCATGGTGAGCTCTAAACTAAAGACAGTCGGTGTTAAATGTGCCTCGTGAGCTTTCTGTTCCTGACTGCTGCTGCACGTTTCTTATCAGTTTCAGGATGAGATGGGTTTTTCAAACATGGAGGATGAAGGTCCAGAAGACGAAGATAATGTCACAGAGTCACGGCCAAATTTTAATACACCACAGGCACTTCGGTAGGATCATTTGGTTGTGGTATTAGACCAATTTAATAATAATGCTGTGATAATAAAAAACTTAGTCACCTACAGCTGTACTGTGCCATCCACTAAAGATGATGCTGCCTTTTCAGAACAGATCACTGCTTTGGAAGATCTCAGCCATTTCATCTATGAGACTGAACACCTACCTTTACCTCCCCCCACCCCAGGCTGTTCTGCACCCTTAATTGACTTCACTGGTAGTGATTCATCTGAGGAGGATGACAACACTGAAAATGTAACTGTTTGGAAAGAGGCAGCAAGAACACCTACAGTAAAAGATTGGTGCTAAGTGTTTGGTCTCATAGATGAAATGGCGGAGATCTTCCAAAACAGCGATCTGTTCTGAAAAGGCAGCATCTCTGGTTGATGATCCTGCTCCTGCCTCTTGAATCGCCACACTCTTTATACTGTCCCTAAGTATTTAAATTGTATGTATTTCTGAAGTCCTTGCACATAATCCCCCGTTTATTACACTGACTCTTACGGGGAAAAAAATGCTTCACTGTTTTAAGTCCCTTGTTTCATCTGTTAGGATAGCAATGGTTAGGATATTTGTGATTATTGGTGATGAAACTTCAAAACAATGGATAGAGAAGCAGTGGATAACAGGACATTGCTGTGTATGTTTTTGTTAAAACGCTCTTGGGGAACTGTTTTGACCAAGTGTGTACCTGTCTGTTTTATTTTTTAAGTAAATAATTTGGACATAATGGTAACGTTTTATAAGGGGAGGCACTGCATAAGATTGCTGAGGCCTAGGTCTGAAACAACTACTAAGTTTAGACAGTAGCTTTTAATGACTATTGGTATGGGTTATTCTTGAAACAATGCCTTGAAGAGGAAAGGCTCTTGATCATTAATGTCTTTTTTTAAATAGTAATACTTCTCTATTTAAACAATGACAGAAACTGGCTAAAAGCGAGCTGTGGTCTGAAGGGTGTCTCCTTGTTTATGGGGCAGATCAGCTCAAGATCAAGCTGTATCTGTTTGGGAAAGGAGCTAAAGTGACGGCTGGATTTTTTTTGCCGCTCTCTCTGGATGAGCAGTACTAGAGAAGAGTGCAGCAATTCTTTAACCAGCTACAGACTAAAAGCAGGGAAACTTTATGTTCTTGCTTACTGTTTGTATTCATCTTCGATAACGGTTAGCTGTGTTCATCTTTCTTTGGGTAGTTCTTCTCAATTGTTTCTTCCTCAATTTTATCTGTATATGGGTTTCTTGCAGTTTAAGGAAGTTGTTTTGCGGCAGAATGTTTGCTAGGTTTGTTTGTTTTTATGATGCCTTGTATGAGAAGAATCTTGGAACATACTCATTTGTAACTAACTTCAGGCCAATTCCAGCAAAGAAGTGTGATCGCTAGCAGAAGTCCTCTAGGAGAATAGGAATTGGGACACCTAAAGTAGATCGAAATCTGTCATAAGGTGGAGGGCATTTGAAGCTGTTTTTGAAAGGACAGAAATACGTACATCCCCTTTTGCTGGAGTGGCAGCTCTTACTGCAGGATCAACAGATGTCCAGTGGAGTAGTTTGTTTTGTCTTTTGTTTTTTTGTTCAAGTTGAAGTATACCCTGAGTTAGTGGTACAGGGGGTGAGAGCTCTTAAACTGTGCATCACAGATATTACAATATTCTAATTGATTGTGAACAATCATTAAACCATATGCTTATCGTAATTGTGTCTGCCTAATCTCTAATAGATTTGAAGAGCCTCTGGCCAATTTACTGAATGAACAACACCGGACAGTGAAGGAACAACTTGAGCAGTTGAGAATCAAGAAGTCTTCAACCAAGCCACCACAAGAGATAGAGAAATCAAAACCTCAAAATGAGAAGCCCCTCCAAAGCCTTGTTCTGGACAGTATGCAAAGAAAGAGGCTCCAGCAACAAATGCAGCAGGTAATAAATATCATCAAGCTTATTAACTTAATGAATATTCACTGTATGTTGCAGGGTGGGGAAGCCAATGGTTCAGCAAGCACTTCAGTGTGTTACTTTTAGAAAGTAATTGAAAATGCTACATTTGAAGCTGCAGCTTTAATAGATGATATTTACATGCTGCTGTCTGATTCCGCATCAGAAGTCAATTCAAATTGTATGTGGGAAGCAGAACTCATCTCTTGGCATCTGTACCGTTCTCATGTGAGATAGCTGTCTCAGCCATGGTCGAATTCTGACTGTGAAGTCTTTAATCTGTCAAATCTTCTGTATTCACATACTTCTTTACCACTTTCTGAGAATGTTCCTCTTGATATAGTTGAGATTTCCCCCCCCCCCCCCCCAAACTATATAGAAATTGACTTTGAAATTTTAAAAGCTTTTTTAAAAGCTGCCTGGAAATGGAGGAGAGAGGCAGGAGAGAAGCTGTACTTCAGAATTTTTGTGTCCATGTCCATACAAAGCTTAAGAGGACTTTTTCTCAGAACTTGAAACTTACTGTCAACTCGGTCTCGTGAGGACAAAGTGAACGTGTTTTGTATGAGCTTGACATAGGTACTGATGAGTAACAATTTATTATTCTGCATACCTAAGACAGCGCCATGTCTTGGTCTGTAGCAGCAAGAAGACACAGACCTCTCAGGCGTGGCTCTTGTGTTAGACATGTAGAGTATGTGACTTCTTTAATTTTTCAGCTGTAAAGCAAGATGTATGGTGTTTGTGTGCATACGGGGAGTTCTGATTGCTGAAGCCACAATGTTACAGCTATCTTAAGACATACTTAAATATTTAATTAGAAAAAATATTTTCTGTATTTATATTTACCTTATGAGACTTGTACACAAAAGTTAAGGATTTGCCCAAAGACTTAAATAAATGGTGTGTTCAAAATCTCTATCGTATCAAAGGTAACTTTTTATAAAGTTTCTGACTGTGGGTGTTAAAATTTCCCATTAGTTTTCTATTGCTTAGAAGGTGTTTTGTAGTCAGAACCTGATTTTTGGGGTGCTCGGGAGATGTTTCTTGTGCCTCTATGCTTATGCTTTAGACTGCTTTCCAGTTTTGTGGGTTACTGATGAACTGGAAAAACCCGATTTGTCTGATTTTTATTCTTCCAGCATGTTCAACTTCTGACTCAAATCCATCTTCTTGCAAGTTCCAACCCTGCTTTAAATTCGGAGGCCAGTACCACCAGGATGTTTTTGGTAAGGATATGTTTAAAATCAGAGCTATGTGAATTTTAATGATGACTGGAGATATTTATAGAACTTAATTTTCTTTTTTAATTGATCCCATTCACTTGAGATGGACTTTCACCCTTAAAAAGGGAATGTCATGAGCCTACTAGTAACATGCTCAGTTATAACCTGCAGAAATAATTTATGTTGTGTTGACTAATAACGGTGCTTTGAATTGACGTGTCTTTGTATTTTTGTATTGTTTTCTTGGAAATGCTGAAAACAAAGCTCAAAAAATACAATTTCTACAATTGGTGAACGTTCTCTGACCTTGAAAGGGTCTAGAAAGTTGAGGAATATGAGCAAACAAACAAAAAAACCCCCGCTTTTATTGCTTCTAGACGGGTAATGCTCAAAAATGAGATAGAAGATATCTGTAACTCTTTACTCTTTTATGCCTGTCATTTGACAAGCTTTTGTTTTTTGCATTACTGCATTCTATTCATGTGTTCTTACCTTGCATTTGAAAACGTTTATCATCTTTTTTTTTTGTGTTTGACTTTGCAGAATGAGCTTGGTAACTTTGCTCGCAGCTCTACGCTCCTCCGTCAGTCATTCAATCCTAAGTTTCAAACAATGTTCCAGCCATGTAACTTGAAGGGAGCGCTGCAGCTCATTGAAGATTTTCATGCCCAAGTCCAAGTTGACTGGAGTCCTCGCAAAGCTGTGAAAAAGAGTGGTATGTATTTGAAGGGACAGGAGGTGGGAAGGCATTTGCACCGAGCGGTATTTATTGCTACGAACCGTTCAGATAAGATATAGTCCACGTTGTTTGCTATTTGAAATGTAATTTTCTTTTTAATTGTTTATAAGGTATTTTTAGACAAAAACATCAGCATTGTCTGCCCTTTCACTTCGTAAACCTGCAGCACCACAAAGCGTATCACGGGGGCTGTAGACTTTTGTTTGGCATCGTAGTCCTGTAATTCATTGTTCTGCAGATAAAATTTTTAGCTGCAGAGGTCCATCAATAAAGTCAAGAAACTTTACATAAATATTCAAATGTGCGAGTGAACACACCAGGGAAATGTTCCCTTGATTGGAATCCCTTGATTGGATTCCCTTTTTCCTGCCTCCCTGCCTCTAGCACTCCCAACTGTTGATTTCAAATGATTTGGTGTGTGATTTTTCTGCTGCTTGAGGGTGAACGTATCTGAAATGAAGAGAGCTTTTCACAAGTTGAATTGAGGAGGAAAGGGAACAGAAAGAAGAAAAGTACATTTTGCCAGTCCAAATTGGAGAAGTGAAAAATAAGAAATATGCAAATTCCTAAAGACCAGGTAGAAAGTGACAGAGTGTTTGCAGTGAAGGGAGTAAAAGAAACAGTTTTTACACATCTGTAGTGAATAATAGTATTTGCCCATGAATGTGCCTCTGCTCATCCGTCAATTCTTTTCACAGCCAATGAATTTCCATGTTTGCCAAAGCAAGTGGCATGGATTTTGGCAACAAGGAGAGTCTTTATGTATCCAGAGTTACTGCCAATATGTTCCTTGAAAGCAAACCCTCCCCGGGACAAGATTATCTTCACCAAGGCAGAGGACAAGTAGGTGCTTAGATTTATTGAATAAAATACATACAAATGAGGGCTTTTTTGTATGGAGAACTACTAGGATGCAAACATTGGGGATATCAGTGTATTGTGGAACAGGACATCCAAACAGCAGTCTGGAGTACTCTCTAAAAGACTCTTATTTTTAAATTTATTTTTTCTTTCTTTCTTTCTTTCTTTTTTTTTTCCCTCCTCTCTCCCTCTCTCCCTTTTCTTCAGTTTGTTAGCTTTAGGTTTGAAACACTTTGAAGGGACGGATTTTCCAAAGCCTTTGATCAGCAAGTATCTCTTGCCAACAAAAACTGCCCACCAGCTGACAGTGCGAATCAAGAATCTCAATATGAATCGAGCCCCTGATAATATCATCAGAGTGAGTGACACATTCAATTATGTTTTGGTATTTTCCGGATTTTTCTGTCTTTGGTATCAGTCATACAATAAGAGATGTGCTTTTTGTTCCAAGGACCCTTTTTGTATCTGTGCTGACTTTTTCTTTTAAGAAAAAGTGATCCTTTTATTAGGGATGAGGACTCCTTCAAAACGACTGCCTCCTCTTTATTTTGCAAGTGCTTTAATTACTCTTTTGAAATGCTTACAGCTAGTATGCATGCGCATCTGCTAGACCTTAATGCTTTTTCCCAGAGAAATCAAGATGGTAGTGAGCTCTTGTTCAGCCTTTACTATTCCTTTTTAATGTTTTATGTGGATAGTAGCTTATTGAAATAGTAGTGATTGGGATCACTTAATTTACACAGAAGACTTTTACAGAGCACAGTCCTTAGCCTAGCTCCCAGTAATTACTGGACAGGTGGTCTGACCGCAATCTTCTTGTCTTGCGTTCTCCCCTCACCTCCACCACGTAGTACTATAAAAAGACAAAGCAGTTGCCCATTCTGTTCAAGTGCTGTGAGGAGATCCAGCCTAATGAGTGGAAACCACCTGTGGAGAGAGAAGAACACCGCCTGCCATTTTGGCTAAAGGTACAGTTTCTGCTATTTCTTCATCCAGCCTGTGAGGTTTTTTTTGTTGACTTGTTTTAGGTTTTTGGTTTTGTATGTGGTGTGTTTTTTGTTGTTGTTGTTGAAGTGTTTTCTTTTTCCTTACAGCCTAGGTCTAGAGTGAGTTGTTTGTCAGACTACAGCCAAAATGTGGTCTGATTGTATTGCATGAGAGCCTGTGTTCACTTGAGTCTAGCTAAAGTAGCAAGAAATGAAGATAGAAGGGTAGTACCTACCAGCTTGAGGTATTATACGCTACTCCTAGTGTTGATCTGCCCAGCTGCAGTACGTGATGTTTGCTTAAAGTTTTCGTGGGTGTTCTGTGCTTGTGGTAGTCACGTTCTTGTTTTGCTAAACAGGTGTATTTCTAATGACTCTGGTTTGACTTGTTAATTGTTAAATTTGGTTAGGCTAACATAGTCTGATCCTTGCCTCAAAGGCAGCGGTGTTGCCATCTTTCTCTCTGCATCACCGCAATGAGAGAGGGTGTTCTCCCTTAATACATAACCTTCTAAGAGGACAGAGGAAATCTTGGTTTTTGCACCACCCCCCCCAACCCCAAAGGCTATCTTCACCTGAAAAGCGGCTGTTATTTTTGTTATATCTAAACGTCTTATACTTTGTAAGGGTTCCTTCTTTAAGATTCCTTGCGCAAGGAAGGACTAAGCTGAAGGCATAATGACCGTGCCTGAGGGTCACACAAGACACAAGAGGGTCTGTATCTGTGGAAAGAATTAGAGTTGGAGTCCTTGGAATCCAGTCCTCTTGACCATCACAGTGAAGCTTCCCTCCTGCTGAGTCTTGTGTTTACTAAAGAAGCCTTTATAAAACAGTTCAGTTATGTTCTTTTCAGGCCTTTAGGTTCTCTTGAAGATTTTTCTGAGTAAAACTTGAGAATGTTAAGCAGTAAATAAAATATGCTTTACTTTCAGAAGCGAGTTGCTGCCTGCCTTTCTGCAGTGCTGTTTGAAGACAGTAAGAGCCTATGGAGTGGACTAATAAACTCTTGTTTCCTTTAGGCAAGCTTACCCTCCATTCAAGGGGAATTGAAGCAGTTAGCAGAAGATGCCAGGGAGATGCCAGGTTCACCTGATGCGGAATCTGTCTTTTTGGGGACAGAGAAGGAGACTTCAGACACAGAATGTGATGAAAAATACCCTCTGCTCATGCCAAAGGGACTAGTACTGACCTTAAAGCCCCTCGCCAATCGATTCTCTAGGAGAGCATGGAGAAGGCAAAGGACTTCAGCTCTGAAACCTGTCCTCGTTCGACCGAGTCCTTCTGTGCAGCCCAGTTCCACCCCTGTGAACATCCAGAAAACTGTGAAGTCGTCCCAGTCAGAAGCTCCTCCCAGCAAAGTTAGGGTTCAAACTCCTCGGTTAATCCAGCCAGCTACAGTTAGGCAGACTGTACCAGGAGTGCCACCTTTGAATGTGCCCACAGTGGTAGGAAGTGGGGACGGCTTGGAATTTCCGAATGTGCTCTCCACTTCACATTCGGACTCCAGGCAATCTTTTCCAGCTGCTGTACCACAAGCCCTAGTGTCCTCAAGTCCTGTAACTTTGCAGCCGAAACTGATGTTGCCAGCTTTGGCCGGACCAAAAATCCGCAGACCTGGTGTTCGCAAGGTATACCAGAAGAAAAAAGGGGCAAAATCTGCCCCGTTGATGAAGACTTCACCTTTGATTCAGTCATCTCCTGTCATCCTTACTGTACCTGCCACCACAGTGAAAGTGGTTAATATAGGCAATGGCTGCAATATGATTCAACCCATAAATACAGCAGTTGGTAGAGGCACTCAGGCTATTCCAGTTACAACCTTATTGGTAAATCCATCCACTTTCCCATGTCCGTTAAATCAGCCTCTAGTGACTTCTTCAATCCCTTCATTGATAGTCTCTCCTAACCCTGTTGGTCTTCCGACATCATCTGTTGTTGAAAATGAAGAACAGCTGAATCTGGCTCCTTCCTGCCCTGCTGTAAATAACAAAAATGCCTATCCTATAGTTGAGCCCAAGGTTGAGCCCCAAGAGTTGTTCGTTTCGTGCTCAGCTGTCTCCCCCAAGAAGGAACGTAGTACAACCCCTGCCACTGCAAATAACGGCAGCCAGGAGAAGGTAAATAAGAGCGACTGCTGTAGCTGGACAGTGGTAGAGATGGGGGAGGAAAACGCCTCAGAGCCATTGTCTGTGGGCCTTCTGCCTCATTTAGAAGATCCAGATGAAGCAGTGAAAATTGAACCTGAAGATTCAAATGATGCTATCAAGGAAGTAAATCCGATAGCGAAGAAGGATCTTTTATGTGCTGAAGTGAAGCATGTTCACGTCCAAACGAGCTGAAAGAAGTAAAAAAAGAGTGTACATCATGCGAAGAGAAGAGAGAAGAGGAAAGACGGGATTTGCAGTCACCCTCCCATGATGAACAGCAGATGGATGCAGGCATTGTTGCTGGACCACAAGTAAGCAGTGAGTCTCCTAAGAATCATTCATACGCAACAGATATTGAAGCAGAATTTAGTAGCCCACTAGGAAAACCAGAGGATTCGTCCAGTATGGATGGCCAGTCTGTTGGGACGCCAGCTGGTCCTGAAGCTGGAGGAGAGAAAGAAGGACAAGAGGAGGAGGAGGAGGAAGACTTTGATGATTTTACACAAGATGAGGATGAAGAAATGTCATCAGCTTCAGAAGAATCTATTCTCTCTGTGCCAGAACTTCAGGTAAAAACAAACACCAAAAAAAAAAATTTTGTTATATATATAGCCAATAAAAAATGTCACTGTCCTGAAACAGCTGAGTGAAGTCAGGGCAAAGCACAGTTTGATTCAAATAGAAAACTAAAATGTTAACTATATATTTGCATATTGTATTATGTAATTTTACAGCACACTTGTGCCGTTCTGCGGAGAAGTTTGGGCATCCTATTTTTCTGAGGAGGCTTTTAAGTCCGAGCTAAGGGAAGATCTTGCAAATACCCAGGCTTAAACTCTGCTTCAGCTGAGGCTGTTCTTTAATAAAAAGTAATTTAACTGAAAATTATTCTCTGGAATGCAGTTCCAGCAAGCCTTCAAGACCTCAGGAGACTATTGAGGGATCCTGTCCAACTTAAGGCTTCTATACATGGCAAATTCTGAAACCAAAGTTTGGCATGATACGAAGATAGGCAGTTCTGGTTCTCATCAAATTCTGTCACTTCACTAGCAATCTAGTTGGTCAGGTCTTGATCTGCAAAGTTAGCTGTTATGTTTATGATGGAGTGGGCTAGTTGTGGAATGACTTTAAAGCAATCACTAAGCAAAGGGATTTTGTTGTTGCTTTCTAAGGAGACAATGGAAAAACTTACTTGGCTTGCAACAGAGAGACGTTTAAGCCAAGAAGGAGATTCTGAAGAAGAGAATTCTCAGGAAGAGAACTCTGAGCCGGAGGAAGAGGAGGAGGAGGAAGGGGACGGAATAGAGAGTTCACAGAAAGATGATGAAATATCTGGAGATATATCAGAGGAACCTAAATCTGCCTTCACGTTGACAAAGACAGCCCCACAGGTAGAAGCTAACAGAATGCCACCAGGTAAGTTCTGTGTGTTTCTTCTGACTCGGGGCATGGGGAAATAGAACTAATATCCTCATCAGAATCAAAAGCATGCAGAAATTGCTTTCAGGTTTAATTTCACTTAGCACGTTTGAGCTTAGTGATGCTTTCCATCTGGAAATGAAACTTTGCACCACAATCACAGTTCTGTAAAAACGGTTCTTGGCATAGTGACCCTTGCGTGTATGAACCGAGTATCTTTACTCCATTGTAAAGCGTTTGCACTACAAAAATTTGGACAGATGAGATCTGTAGTGTGTGTCAGCTAACACGCAACATCACTATAAGAACAAGATTAAATACTCAAAACTCACATCTTCACTAAATGTGAATGTTGTGTTACAGGGTCATCTGTAACGTGTTAGGGAACGATAAATGAAACAAAATAATATCTCAACAGAATATTGCAAGTGTTAGATGAATTTGAGCAGTAAATGTTCAGGAGAAGGTGGACTCCAGCTTAGTAGACCAATAGATGCCTAAGCTAAAATCTCAATATAGCAACTCTGAGTATACTATTTCATTCCTTATTATCTGACACCACAGTTAGTCATCTGTGATGTTAACTCTATTCATGTCAATGCTAAACTGTCATAAAAAGAATAACTTGCAAGTGTTATGTCCAGTTCTGAGGCTTATATATCCATATTCATCTGTTATTATTTCTTAGTAGATTGTTAGCTAAGTGGCAGCTAGAATCAAAGATGGGTTTGCTGCAGTACCCAGAGGCTTTCTCATCCGCTGCTACAATAATAAACAGGCAATTTAAAATTCGTTAGCTGGCCTGACTAATACAATATTTTATTCATACGTGTTCAGGAAGGTGTAAGCAGTTATCTCATCGCTAACTCTGAAAACCTAATTTTCTGTTGCAGTATAGGTCTAGAAAAATGGTTGTCTGCCAGCCCAGAGAAGGTATGAAAGTTTCTGCCCAACCCGCTTTGTGCTTCCTCACAGGAGAGAACATGAAAGTCCCTGGGAAGAGCAGGAGCTCCCACAGAACCAGAAATAAGAGGGGACGGACTCGTGCAAGCAAAGATACCTCTAAGCTGCTCCTTTTGTATGATGAAGACATCCTGGAGAGAGATCCCCTGCGGGAACAGAAAGATCTGGCATTTGCACAAGCCTATCTAACCAGGGTAAGCCAGACCAGCACAGAGCCCAGAAGCAAGAACTTCGGACAGTTCGAGTCTTTTAACGCAGCTCAAGCCCGAGCCGCGTAACTACCAGTTTTAATGGGGCCTTTTTTAATTTCAGAATTTGACCAGGATTCAGTTCCCCTCTCTCTTACGAGCAGTCCGCGTTTATCTTTTAAGGAAGAGATTTTTGTTGGCGTAACAACATTGAAAGCGCTATATAAATGCTGAGTACCAAGAGATCAGAGGGATTACTAAATTAAGTTGTTTTCTTCCTGAATGTTATGTAGTCCTATAAAGGTCTGTTGCTCTTTACAGGTGCGTGAAGCCCTGCGGAATGTTCCTGGAAAGTATGAAGACTTCCTTCGCGTTATCTATGAGTTTGAGATTAGCACTGACAAGCGAACAGCTGTAGATCTCTATTCCACTTTGCAGAAACTGTTGCATGAGTGGCCACAGTTGCTCACAGATTTTGCTGCCTTTCTTTTACCAGAACAAGCTTTGGAATGTGGACTGGTAAGTAGAAGGAAAGAAGCAGACCAGTGTTTAAACAGACAAACGTAAACACTGTGAGTGTGGAAGAACAAGGAATTTTTCCTAGGGCAAGGAAACACAGGTGGTAAATCATTCGCTTACCTGCCTGTTCTATTAATCAGAATTGAAAATTCTGGTGTGTGTCTTAAGACACGTGCCAAATAGGGCTGTGGAGATTCAGTCTTTCCCAGTGACATCCCAGAACCCAATGATGGAGAGACAACATGCAAATACAGGAAGTGGAATGCTTTCCTTGTCTCAGAAATTAGCCTTTCACTTTGTAAGACAGAGGTTTTTCACTTGTTACGTTCCTCCTGGATTTTGCTATCTTACATGCTTACTGTTGAAGCAACGCTTTCTAGGTCACATAAGTATTACTCGCGCAAAGTAGGGTCTCTCGTCTCTCTCTACCACCTCTTGCCAGTTTTGCAGTGGCTGTCGGTACAAATGGAAAACAAATAGCAAAAGTGGAATTTTATAGCTCGTTTAAGTCAACTAGAGATGCTTGGAAATATATTATTGGACATGAGGGGTGAATCTTTTTCTTTTGGTCAGTTTGAAGAGCAGCAAGCGTTTGAAAAAAGCCGGAAGTTCCTCAGGCAGCTGGAGATCTGTTTTGCTGAAAATCCTGCCCATCATCAAAAGATCATCAAAGTTCTGCAGAGTTGTGCAGACTGCCTCCCCCAGGAGATTGCAGAGGTAATCCAGCATCCAGGTAGCCCCTCTCTCTCAAAAAGCCCCAAGAGTACAATTACCTAGCCTGCTTCACTGTTCCCTTGTGCTGCTCTTTGAGACCACAAAAGCCTAACAAGCCCGATCTCCCCTGTGGGGTCTGGCAGATCACTGAAGCTGCCTCTTCACCAGGCTTTACAATTAACTGGCCTTTGTGCATCTCCTCTCTCCTACCTTCACCTTGCTTTTATCACCTGGCAGGTGAAATTTTAGCTTCTGCCTAGAACTCTGAAGGGATATTTCTTTGCTAAATAGCTGGAAATGGAATGATCTCAAAACAGCTATGAGGTGGTAGCAGTGCAAGCCTGTACTTCCGTGTGAGAGTTCTAATAAGCCTTGATGTTCCGTTTGCCTTGAGAAATCCTCCCAAGAAGAATGTGACAACGTGAAATGAAACACTGATTTTTCTCTGGATTTCCCTCTTTCAGCTGAAGACCCAAATGTGGCAACTCTTGAAAGGACATGACCACTTGCAGGATGAGTTCTCCATTTTCTTTGATCATTTACGCCCCTCAGCCAGCCGCATGGGAGACTTTGAGGAGATCAGCTGGACAGAAGAGAAGGAATATGAGGTGGAGCCCCCTTTTCCCAAAACCAGGAATGATAAGAGCAGAGATACTAGAAATATTTGAACTTGAAGGATTTGTAGTGAAGCCGCATTTCTAGAATGAGGAAAGTGGCAGGGTGGGATAGCTGCAGGTGGGCTGGAGCAGCTGTTTCATATTCTTACAGCATTTATGTCTGTTCTAACAGGACTGAACCAGTGGTGCCCTGGAACTGAGCTTAATATTCAGAAATTTGTGGGGAAAATTAAGTTGCCTCCTGAAGAGCTATCAGGACAGAGCAGTTTCTGTTTGTTTTTCTTTTAGTTTGATGGGTTTGAAGAAGTGTCTCTACCAGATGTAGAAGAGGAGGATGAACCACCCAAGATGCACGCAGCCTCAAAAAACAAGAAAAGGAAAGAGATTGGAGGCCAGAGCAATGACAAGGTGGGCCTGGGATATCTCACTAGTCCGCATGTGAGGACTCTAAGCAAACGCGTGTCCGTGAGGATAAATCCATCTGCATAGAGAGACATGACAACAGTCTAAAAGGATTTGAAGAAAGGGATTAAAACGTTTCTGTTGTGCTTTGCTTGCTAGCAGTATAATTGCTTTAGTTCTCTCTGGGCGTTCGGAGTGCTGCTCTGCCCTTTCTGGCTCCCTCTGGGATTAACCTTCCTCTGACTGTCATCTGTGTACAATGCAAATTTGTCAGCTGGAGTATGTGTTTCCAGGAGGTCGAGTGGGTAGATGGAGTGAAGGAATGTTCGTGTTCCTGCCATGAAGGGAGTAGCGATCTCAAGCTCAAGAAAAGCAAAAGGAGGACCTGCAGCCATTGTAGTAGTAAGGTTAGTTGATAGGCCAAGTCACTGGACTGGTGAGCGGAAAGAATAGTCATCACAACAAACAGGGGGACTTCTTGGCGTGATCTGCCCTGCCTTGGGCTTCCTATCTCCAAAATCTAACGTGCTGGGGAAGAAAATGAATTGAAAGGCAACCGATACACTGTCAATAGTGTCTCCCTCTTTGGAGCTCTCGCTGCTCTACCTGGCCTTCCCCTCTCTTATCTCCCACTCACTTTCTACTTTCCCTCCTTGCTATGCTAAATAGTATTAATGTTGATGTTCCTTTGCATTAAGAATAGCTTTTTTTGTAGAAGATTCTTGCGTGATCACTATATGAAAAGAACTATGCCTGTTCACAATAATAAAAAATCCGTTTCCTAAACACAAATAAATTGCCAAATTGAAGCGTTAGTTAGGGTCGAGGCATACTTTTGAGGCAAAGGCTGAGGTGTTAGGTTTGGACTGATGCACCACATTTGTAATCATATGCCTATATATTGATTTGCAGGTGTGTGATAGCAAGTTTTATAAAAATAAAGACTCTCAAGAGCTGACGGTTAGCCTCATTCAACAAGAGTCAAGCCTGCAGCCTGAAGGGAAGAATTCTGGAATGTCTAAGGAACCTTTAGAAGAAAGCTCGGAGAACAGAGATGAGGGAGAGGATATCCAAGGCAGAACAAAGACCGCATCTAGGAAAGTGGACTCTCTGGTTTCAGGTCTGTGAAAGTCTCATGTATGTGTCATTCATCTCCAGACTGGTTCACATAAATGAAAACAAGCATAGGACGTCCTAATGTAAATTCATTGTAATGATGACAACTTCTAATAATCCTTTTTTTTCCTTGTTTTTTTCCTCCACTCTAGATTCTTTAAGCATGCAAATGCCCAGAGCATTCCCTTCGAAGAGCTCTCCTGACCAGAGAATATTCTGCCCTCTGTAGAATGATTGACAGATACATTTAAGCTTGTTGCCAGCATATTAATCCATGACCTCAATGCTACTAGTCTATACTACTGTCAATAGGTTTCTTTTTTCCAGTTTTCATCTTAACACAGCACTTCACAATCGCCATCTCTAATATTCCTTTAAATAATCCCCTTTGTGCTACTAGTTTCTCCTTTGGCTGAGTACAGACAAGGGGAAACGCAATTATTACAGGATAAATGCACTGAAAGGGATCCCTTCCTTCTTTCAGGAACTGTGATCTCAGTTAAGGTTAGCTGGAGAAAAGGCGAGGCTTAACTGAAGAGGTTTAAAATTAATGCATCTTTGATGTTTAGTTTATACTATTTTTTTAAATGGGGTGGCAAGAGCTGCAGTGTTTGTTTCACTTGAGAATGTTGTCCTGGGCAATCTGCTTAAGCTTTGTCAGGTGTTCATCGCTTCTCCACACAGCAGTTCATTGTAGTAACCCACAATGATAAAGAAAATGCGCTGCAAAACGCCGCCTTTGAAGTACGTGATGGGTAAATTGCGGCTAGCATTACCAAGCTGCTCCCAGGCTGTATTCTGATTTACAGCACTATGTCCTAGAATCCAAAAACCTCTTAAAAAAATAAAACCTGAAGAAGTTTTTCTTACTAATGGCTAGTCTGAACTTGTTTGGGTTTCTTATCAGGATCTCACCTAGAGAGAGGAAGATTCCTAGAAGGAAAGATCGTCTCCTGCAGATATGCATCTTCTGAAAAAGCTGTGTTGCCTGATAACCAAGTCCTTCGAGAAGGAGATGCCAGTGCTGGGGTGAATACTGCAAAGGATAGTCGTTCTTGCATCGCTGGCCCTGGATGGACGGATCTACAAAAAGCTACTCTAAAACTACCTCAAGAAACTAAAGACAGCTCTTGCGCTGTAGGAAGTGACAGTGAGGGACTAAACCAGCGACATCAAGGAAATGCAAATACTTCTTCCCTTGGGCTGGGTGGAGATCTGCTGTCTTCTCATCCTGCTGCAGTAAAAGGTTTAGCAGGACCTAGTTCATCTTCTGGAAATAGTTTATATCAGACTGAAGGGCTTCATTCCAGTTCATCAGATGAGCTTGCTGTTTTTGGTCACGCTTCAAAATTAGGCATGAGAGAATTGGAGAGATCACCTTTGCCTTTGGAAGGAAAATCTGAAGCAAAGCAGAGCTGCATTACACCAGGTAGAAAACCAGCACTGGGTAAGAGCTGCCGCTCACAGTCCCCTGATAATCACAACGTCCTTTTGGAAGCAGATGGTCTGGGCTGCACTGGAGGCTCTCCTGAGAGCAGATTAAAGTCAAATACAAATGACTACTTCCAGGCACAAGAGCATTCTGAGGAGCTAGAATACAGAGTGCTTGGTGCCTCCTTGGGGCAAAGGGAAGAGGAGCAGCAACAGCAGCGAGTCACAGAAGCAACAGTGTGCGCTAAGAACAGCAAAGTCAGCTCTACTGGGGAGAAAGTTGTCCTCTGGACCAGGTATGTGTACCTCCACTGCATCTTACAACCTTAGTGCGTTGTTTGGCTTCATCCTCGATAATATAGAGTAACCTTTATTTTCATCTTGTGTCCCATTTCCTGATGTATTCTGCCCCTTATCGTCCTTGAATATTCTTGCCTTGTTTCCTCTAAACAAAGTTAGATCATAGCTGCCATCTTGGTTCTTTGAGAAACACTGTACTGCTAGTGGCAGTATAATTGTTGTAACACGTCAGGCTGGGAAGGAAACGCCTTTTTCTACAAAAAGGTTTAAAAAGAAAAAAAGAAAAGACAAAAAGCAGGCTAACTGCTTAGAGCTACCTCTTGAGGAGGAGGAGGAGGAGGAGTAGAGGAACAAGCCAGCTGGGCTTGTTCTGTGATAAAGTTACCTGTTCTCTGAAACACACCTGTCAGGCTCATGGTGGTTGAAGTGTTCCACTTTTTCTGATGCTTTAATAACTTTTTTGTATTGCTTCCAGGGAGGCTGATAGAGTCATTCTCACTACGTGTCAGGAGAAAGGAGCCCACCTGGAAACCTTCCATGCCATCTCACAGAAACTGGGCAACAAAACCGCTAGTGAGGTAAGGGGCCAGTGTGGAAAAGCCTGCCTTTACTGAAGTGAATGGGAGGGGGGGAAGGGTGGAAATGAAGGCGTTGTGGAGATTTGCTCTCTCTCCAAAATTTGTCATGTCTAATCCTAACAGAAGCTACTTGTTCCGCAGCATCCTATGGCAGGGAGTTTGAAAATCTCAGGGCATAGGGAAAAATGCTTGGGGTTGGGGTGTGGGGTTCCCCCCCGCCCTTCTTCCAATTTACTATTTAATAACAGTTGGCCTTTAATTATCCCCATAAGAGCTAACTACTTCGCAATCATGAATTTTACCCTTTTTATCCAGTCAAGGACTAGTTTTTGTTCAGATGCTGTACAATATCTGTTCTCATCTCCCCCTCCCCCGTTCTGTTTTACATTTTTTAGTTGGGTAACCAACACTGTAGACCAAGGATGCTTCATCTTTTCTGTTGTCCTTTCTCAAAAGTATGTAATCATATCTACCTTTCTAGTATATTTGAAAAAATGACATTATCTGAGTCTTTCTACAGCGAGTGGCATCATTCTTTCATTATTCCTGTGTTTTTCATAATTTGTTAGCATTAGCTTCTCTTCATTTCCCTTCTAAGTGTCTAGGCGGCCTGTGACATTGCTGTCTTCATGGTCATTTTAGTTAATCCAACTTCAGTGTCAGTTACTAGTATTATATCTACTTGACTTCTGTTGCTTGTTGCTGTGTGGCGTTTAACTGGAATTGTGTCCTTATTTCCTAACTGATCTTGAGCAGCTTTTTTCCCCCCGTTTATAGGCTTTGTTGTATTAAGTGCTTGCCTCTGCCTCAGCTTTCCCCACTCATGAGGATTTTATTTGGAAAATTATGTTTACTTTCTCTGTGAGGCTAACAACCTGTTTTGTTCTGGCGGAGCCAAAAAAGTCTAACTGCCTTGTTCCTTTTTCCAGCGTTACCATTGATAGTCTAGCCTTGTATTTGGTACCAGAATTGTTTCAGTGACTGCTGCTTGGGTCTTCAGCCTTCTGCTTCTATATGGGAAAGCCATCAGGATTTGTCTCTTAACCTTCCCCACATCATTGTCTAGGTGTCTTTCAGAACTGCCAGTCTTTGCTGGCAAGTCAGTAGAACATGACCGTTCTTCCAAAGAGAACAAAACAAACCGGTGGCTCTTGCATTTCTCTTTCCCCTTATGATTGAGGCTTACAAAAATCATCGTGCTTTTACATTTAAAAAAAAAAAAAAAAACATACTTCATACTGTGAAAATTTCCTTTCACAGCACCTTTTAGGCCACTAGTCGTTTCAGATTTCCTTTGTTCTTCAGGTATCCCACAGGTTCAGAGAACTGATGAAGCTGTTTCATACATCTTGTGATGGAAGCTCTGACGATGAGGAAGATGCAACTAGTACTAGTAACACAGACCAGTTGTCAGATAAAGATCTTCTGCTTTCTGAGGAAGAACCAGATGACTAACACTTTTCTGGCCTAATAAGCTGCTGACTACATCAGAAGAGGAGCTGTTTGCCAGTTTGCTGCTAGACAAGTGCTGTGGTTAAAGGAAAAATATTTGCACAGGTACTTAATACAGCCCCTTTTATGAGTTCACTCTCCAGCCACGCTTGTGACAAGCCACAGTTCTAAATCTGTATTGAACTAAAGGAGTGAAGAAAGTTGTGAGGGTTAACACGCTTTAGAACCTATATGGGTAACTCTAACTTAATCACAGAAGTGAGACTCGTGGACATTGACCTCAGTCTGTGGTAAAGAACTTGACCAAACAGCCTTTTGCAGCATATGCAATAGAGAACATGTAAATATTGTATAATAAGATGTCTGTTTTCATGTGGAGCAAACACCTGAGGTTTGTTTTTTTGTAAATTTCTCCTTGTGTTGATTATGTGTGGGAAAGTTGCGACCTGAAACCTGTATTTATTGTGCAGTCTTATTCTAACACCCTAAAGCAAGTTCAGTGTGTTGCAAAGTAAAAAAAGCTCTAGTACACAGACAAACTTGAAGATCTCTAAGGAGAAGCTTTCCTCCTTTATAACACAGTTACAAGTAGCTGGACAACTTGAGCCAGCTGCCTTAGTAGGATTTTGCTGAAATGAAAGAGAAGTATCAGTTGGGCCAAGCTTTAAAGCCATTCCATTTATTTCAAAAGTGATCTTAAAAGCCTTACTCCTTCCACTCTCTCCAGTAATAAAGATGAGTTAGTCTGAATCTGTTTCATCTTCAGATTCATCTGCTTCAAAACTTGTTTTATAGCACTGTGCTAGAGTTCTTAGTTCATGCAGGGCTTCTTTAAAGTCATCCTGTTCGACTCCTGTGGAGAAAAAGCTAGCCCATCGCCGCGTATCCAACTTCTGTAGATCCCTGTATAAACTGTAGAGGACTGTGTGCAGAACAGGTGAGGACTGCAGTGCGGTCAGTACAGGAATGCTTTCGACAGCTGCAGAGAAAACCACCGTTGAAATGCACAAAAATCAAAACTTGTTTCCCTGCTCTACACTCCTCTTATCGATAAGCAGCCGCTTCACTAGAACTCAGCGTAGCAGAAAAGTTGCTGGACGGTCATGTTTTGCCCCATTAATTCACAAAGTGGTGTGTGTGTTTGTTTTTAAATTCTCCTTTACCTTTGTTAGACCCTACTGCCTTCCCCCCCAGCCCCCCGGATGGTTTTCTTTTGCAAAGTTAAGTTTAAGGGGCACGCGTTACCTGTTGAGGAATAACTGAGAGGTCTATCCAAAAGGAAGCCTTCTCTGGTGAGAAGAGAGGAAAAAAACTGGGGATACGGAGGTAAGGTATGACATGGCTGCTTAAGCACGTGAGATGTGCTGTAAAGAAGAAATTGAATAAAGTCATCTAAAATTTGTTATACCTTCTGTAGTTTCCAGGCAGCGTTCCCTTTTCTAAGTTGCAAGAGATTGTTACCAACCTGAATGCCCCAGGAGACAACGTGTGTAAGTAATGCTGCAGAATCTGCTCGGCTGTCTCACAAGCATGGAGTGCAGAAGCAGGCTGCTTTCCTGGACAGTTGCTGCAAAGAGAACCATGAATTGGATGAGAACGAAGAGGGGGCATAAATGAAGATGTTGGTAACTCAGCTGTTTGGTAGCTGTTTTAACTATAAAACTAGTAGTATATAAGATCACTAGATTTTTTTTATTATTATTATTTTAAACACTCAACTGATAGTCTTTAATAGAAGGATAACGCCTGGACTTTAAAGAATGATTCTTGTAAAAAAATGGTGGCTGTCAGGAAGGCCAGAACTCTGAAGGAAAAAGAGTGTAGTTCAAATGCTGATTACCTGTTACAATTTTCTTTGCAAATTCCTCTTAGCACAACAGACTGAGCGAAACAGCGGCTGACCTTTTGCTCTCCGTATGAAGACAGAAGCTTCCAGGGCACGTTCTGCTGGTGGGTGCCTAAAGTATCCGGGAGCGAGTGGCCATGTACGATAGGAAAGGGTACAGCAGCCAATGCAGCCACAACCTAAGAGTCAGAGAGGGGTTGACGATCACGATCCGTAACCCTTCACTCTCCTATATGAAGACGACACTGATAGTCCTAGATGTGTGTGAAGTAGAACTGTAACACTAACTCTTGCTTATAGCAGCAGTTCAGGTAGGGTAGAAAGGATTAGAGGCTGCTATTCTCTAAGCCCTTACCTTCCGCCCAGAGAAGTTAAGCATTTCAGCAAGGTGCATCATAGAACACTGCGAGGTAGAGAGTCGATAAGGAACAGTAAGAGTATCGAGTACTGCTGCCAGGATTGCACTGCTGTGGTAGTTAAGTGATGCCTGCAGAGGAGACAAGTGAAAGTGTTACAGGGCAAAAGTTCAATTCATCTGTTCCTTAAACGAGACAGATGAAAACATCATTTAACTTAAATATGACCTATATAAAGACACAACTTACAGTATGCTTAACAATTAATTATCTCAGGTTTTGGGAGACTAAGAAAAGAACAAGCCTGATGTCAGTTGGTTCAAATTCATTAAACAGGTATTCATAGCTGCAGAGAACACCTTTGGAGAGCGGTAAATCTCAAAAACAAAAAGATAAAAACCACTAGGAATACTAGTATATAATACATACGTCATAGTTTATATAGGGAAATGTAATGGGAGGTTCTGACTTGATTCCTAGACTCCCACTGAGTGACAGTGGGCAAAATAGCGAGCTCTGACTGGAGAGATGGACGATTCCTAGGGCTGTGTTCATCAGTCTGTAAAAGTCCTTTTCAGGCTGCTGGAAGAAAAATCCCAACTGTTAGCCTCTTACAGATGCAAATAAGCAGGCTAGCTTAGAAGAGGCCAGAAAGCTTAGCGTGTTCTTGTTCTTCCACTGTTTACTTACTCCTGTTTTATGCATGACTGGAGTCAACCCCCAGGTCAGGATTCCCCTTCCACAATACTCGTCATGGAGCAGTTCTGTCACCTTGGCACCAACTCCAGAAAATCCATTGTGTAGGTCACACAGGACTTGAAATCCCTGCATAAAGAGATACACTAAGCAGAAGTTCAGATGCTGTCCAAAACAGGAGCTTTCCTAAAAGAAGAGACAGGTTAACAGCAGCTGTCAAACCTGTAAGTAATCACATTCTTCCACAAAAAAGTGCAGCCGATCTTCCAACTCCTCTAGACATACAGGATCCTGCACCAGACTTTCACCTTGTCCAAAGGCTTCTAGACGACCAGAATCCCTAATGAAGTGGAAAAAACTGCTATTCTACCACAATATATAGGTATATAAAATATATATATATACAGGCAAAACTAAGATCCTGTTTTGCACAACAGCTTTTGAACCAGCTGTGTACTGCCCGTTAGCCTTCTGTGCAGACCTACCCATCGTGGTTGTACTGATGAATCACAAAGACGCTCTTGGGGTGCAAGTGCACTTTGAGGTAATCGGACCAAACCTGCACGCTTCCGCCTGAATAAACGTCCTGGTAAGCAGTTAGCCGTGAAAGGGGAGGAGGTGCATCTGGAAAGGGACCATTATGAAGAAGGGTCATTTCAACACTGAACATCCCCCTGAATAATTAAAAAAAAAAAACAAAAAACCCATCCCTGAAGTTGTCAGGTGCAGCTTCCTCAGCTATCTGCTACTCTTTTACTCATGTTTCTTTTAGCAAAATAATTGTATCCCCTCATTTTCCTTTTGCTCTCCTGCCCTGATCCTTGCTCACAGACAACTTGCGGGGCAGCAAACTGCTGCTGGATTATCAAGTTCTTCAGCCCTCAGCAAATAAACCAAACGCACCGAGAACCGGCCAAAAGAAGGGAGGCGCGGGGATGGCACGCACCTCTGGCAGGAGCGCTGCAGCTGCCCTCGCCCTCCGAGGAAGCGTCTCCCTAGAGCGAAGCAAGAGCCCCGGGGGCGCCGGTTACTCCCCTTTGGCTTTCGCCTCGCCCCCGCCCCCC